TAGATAAACTGGCCTTAGTATGTGTATGTACGAATATGGGTTTAGAAAGGGACTGATGTAAATGTAAAATATATATGTAAAGCACTGTGCAAATTGTTGGCACTATATAAGTACCTGTAATAAATATCAGGAGTTAAAGGATGGTGTAGGGGAGTTTTCTCAGGTTCTCATTATCCATGAAGATGTTTCATGAGGATGCAATATAATCACAACATGATGTCAAAACTTTCAGGCTGTAAAGTTGTTCAATTAATAAATAGTATTTGCATACTGATAGAACCAAATTTGATGAGAAATGAATTAAACAGATTTGACAGCTATACAATAGTCCATATAACTCCTATTTTAACATAGCAGTTTACCAGAAGGGGTAATCAGCTGAAATTTTGGACAGAGAGCAACTGCAAACTAAAGTCTACCAAAACGATGCAAAAGCTAGAAGCAACAATATAAAACAGGTTCAGGATGGCAAAACCCCCCCAAAAAACAAAAACATGAATACATGGCAGAATAATTAAAGATGCACAAACATGAAATCTGCACAAACATGAACTCTTCAAAGATATTTCTCCATGACTCAGTCAAGACAACACATGGCCACATAGCATAGTCTAATAAGACTCTTCAACAACAAAGTCACAGTGAGAATCACAAATTTAGTAAAACAGTATGGAACACAGCTACCTATGATTATCCCTCACAGTGATGCCCAGGGCTGCTCTGGTAACACAAGTGACCAGCTGAAGGGAACAATGGGCCACGGATGAAGCATCACCCTGCTGAAACTGCAGTATTCTGGCAGTGACTGGGAGGGCTCCCCACAGTAGCTGGGTTTCCTGGAGATGCTGCAAATTTTTAGGCTCCTGCCCGCATGTCAGTTCAGTGGAGGGCTTCTTACCTGTCTGAAGATCATCTTCTGCTTCATCAGGTGTGACTTCTCTGAACTACTGAGGAAGTGAGGAAGAGAACCTCTTTCCCTGTGTGTGTGTGTCCAGGAACCAAGATAGTTGTGGGAAAATGAGTTAATGAGGCCTGTGTCTGCACCTGATTGTGGTGGGTAAATATGCATTTCCCAAAACTCCATCCCCACTTGAGTTTGTTGTCCCTGGCAGGTTTACAAACCATTTAAATTAGTCCTGAAAAAAGTATATAGTGGATCTTTTGAAGTTAGGTCTCTGGGAACACCTCAAGGGTTGAGTCTTTGTTCCATCCTTTGAGAAGTTTCCATCCTCTGGGAAGAGATGCCTCCTCTTTGTGTTTAGGACTCAGTATATGGTGGTTCACAGGGTTCACAGGGGGAGCATGGACCTGAGTTTGGTAACCATTGGGTTTTGAAACATTGTCTGGATCTATAGCTTTTCCTAGAGGTCTTGGAGATAATAATGGAAGAGCAGGAGGCAGCTACCATTCAACCTATGTTGGCAAAGATGTCCATGACTTACAACTTGAACAGATTCTTCAAAAAACCCTATAGGCCTCTTTGTGAGTCCTAGTGGGTTTAAGGAGCTTATGGTGTAGTAAGTAGTAATCTTGATTTTCCTTGGGTTCATTCTCTCTAGATTTTGTAAACTGGCACACCTTGAATAATTAGTTGTAGGACAACTTCAGGGACTTCTTCCCACAAAGTTCATAATTTTCCTTGCTGGTGTGCCTTAAAGTGACACTAAAGTCAAAAGGTTTTTTTTTTTTACCCTAATGTATTACCTGCGTTAAGGTAAAGAAAATCCACTAGCTGAAACCCCCCCCCCCCCCCAAATACATACTTGAGTCCCTTATCGATCCAGCACTGTGCCTGTCTGCAGTAACACTGGTTCTTTTTCTGTGCTCTCACAGGCACAGAGACAGCAGTGGGATCCATTGGCTCCTGCTGCTGTCAATCAAATCTGGTGAGGAGGGAGCAAGGGCAGTATTGAGCAGGGCTGTGTGTGTCTATGGATGCACACAACCTGGCTCAGGAACTCGCTCACAGGTGTGTCCCCATAGCAAGCTGCACACAGAGAAGAGGAAGAGTGGAGAGCACGAGCAGGGGACCCTAGAAGAGGAGGTAAGTGGCTGCTCTGTGCAATACAAATGCACAGTGAAGGTGAGTATATGCCTCTCCTTTTATTTTAGGTAAAACAACACAAGTCTTTAGTTTCATTTTAATGTCAAACTAGCACTTATGTTCATGTTTCCAAATCTTCTTGCTCCATTCATTACTGGTCTTTAATGAACTGTTGGACTTCAGACAGGCATCGTTTGCAATCCTGGATCCAGGAAGTCAAAGTGCGTTCAAGTTCTTCTGTGGGCACTTTGGACCTTACGTCTGTGGTTTGCCTAAGAGTACAGCCAAACCTAACATGGTAGGGCAAATGGCCTGTCAAGAAAAATATATTGTATTGTTTTATTTCCAGACGACTTTAACCAAATAATGAGCCCATTCCCTTTTTTATGAACTAAGCCTTTGAGTAGCTGTATCAGGGTTTGACTGAACCTCTCATATGGCCCATTCCCTTGATCTAAATGTATCCTTCTGCAGACTGCCATAAGGAAGGCAGTAATGCTTTTGCACCATCTGTCTTGGTGGTCTGATCATGGTTTGATACTGCCACTGCAAACTTGGTAAAGCAGTCCATCATATCTAGAACATGATGATATCCATTGTTTGACATGTTAAATGTAAGAAAGTTGAAGTTCAGTAATTCCAGTTGGGCAGAAATATACCAAGTCACATGTGGAAGTTGTGCCACAGCACCCATTGACATAAAACAGACCATGCAGTGTTGGCAGTGTTGTTCAAACAACTGGAACAGACCCACACAAATGGCTTGTCCCTTGAACCAGGTGACTGTTTTGTGGACAACCTAGTGTGTCGATTCTCTCTACCACAAAAAGGGCCTGGACCCTTGACAGAATGACCTGCCAAGTCATGAAGAAACATTATTCTGCACTACAGTATTTAGTCCCTTAGGACAGGCCCACTTACGAATTGTTGGTTTATGTAGTAACTTTCATCTTTTTCTAGGACTTGGCCACTGCCTGTAACTGCATTGCCTCTATTAAGCTGGTAATCACTGTCTCTGCCTAGTTACACTCAGCCAGTACATAGGTGAGGTTTACATGAGGCCTGCACATACCCTGAGACAAGTCAGAAATTTCTATCTCTATAGCTTCTTCATTCACATCGTCAGTTCTTGTTTCTCTTTGCCATTCTACTGCTTGACTCCTGAAGTGTTTCACTGTGTATGGTTGGGGCCATGTCCAAATATGTTCAAGCTCAACAGACTCAACACCGGGAAGGTCACCTTGCCTGCCTTGGCCAGTGTTTCCTTCTCCATGAGGGGCATCCCTTCCTTTCCCCTGGGAGGAATATTCATGTCTGAGCGTCAGTGCTGTTAACACTGTCTAGAGCTGAACCATCCCTTCTGTCAGTTTCTAGATGGGCACCTCACATGGAGCCATCAGTTTGTGGTTCTACAGATTTGCCTCCTGAGACAGCAATAGGTCTATCCAAGCTTATACATCTCTGTTCCCAACATGCTGTCACTTGTAGGCAGGTTTTTGTCTGGTTAGTTAGTCATTCTGCCCTGATGGGGAAAGGGTTAACAATTCTGGTTTCTTTTCTTAGATTTTTCTGGCCCTGCCTTCCACCCAGTGTGATGTAAAAGGGGGAAGGTTTGGCCCAGAGACAGCCCACTCCCATTCTGACTCATACATGCTACCATGGACAGGGGTCACTAGAAGGGTCTACCTCAGAACACTGGACAGCTACCATTCTGTGTAAAATGCTATGTATAGACTCACACCTGTGACAGGTATGCTTGGGCAGATACAGTCAGACAGTTAGGGTTAAATTGTTTACACTGTGTGTAATGTGAACACTTTAAGTACCTTCAGTAAAGCTTTACACATTGTTAGCCTGGTCTGAATTCATTCAAAGGAGTGCTTGATAGATTTTGGTATATCAAAAGAACAGGGCCTATGAGTAATTGGAACTAGTGCAAAGTACACAGCAGCCAGTTGTGAAGCATGGTACCTGGTGTAGGTGCAGGGTCCTCCGGAAGCAAGGGGGGGCAGTGTGCTGGCTCGCTCCTCAGTGGTTGGTTCCCTGAGTTCTGGACTGAACATGGGCAGACTGACCATTTGGAAACTCGGGCACTGTCTGAGGGCCCGGGGTCAGTAGGGGGCCCCATGAGATGCCCCTGGTACCTTTTTCATAGGCTTTTTTGAGTTTGGGCAAGGACACAGGGGCCCCATGATCCCCTATTGCCCAGGGGCCCCATGAGTTGTCAGTCCGCCCCTGGGACTGAACCTGCATTTCGGAGACCCACAGCCTAGCCAAATGGTATGGGAGAGCTTAAAGAGCATGCATGAGGTCTGCACTAAGTGCTCAGCGGGACCCCATTCTGTCACTGGATGTGAGGTGGCAGAGTTATACTGGACTGGTGGAGAGGACATAGGCTCTGTGGTGTCCCTCCTAAATGCAAATACTTTAGAACTAGGTATGTAGTGACACAGACAACACATTCACAGAGTAATTCTGTATTTCACACAACTACACACAGTACACGGCTCATCTCTAAGCCGAGGTACCACCATAATGTTTAACTTTTACATGAACATGGTCCCAGGCATTGGTGAGCACATGCATGGCAAAAGGTACCCCCCATATGCAGGGTGAAGTGGTTGCTTTTTACAGTTTACAATTTGTGAAAAAATAAATTCAATTAGTGTTGTTTCTATCTTTCTCTTGCAAAGTTTCTCTGATCTTGTCGAATAGCAGTCTATGCCAGGTTGAACTGGTTCTCACTCTGGAGAGACACTCATGTGGTTGCAGATCACTTGCCCAGCTGTTTCTGCCTCACCAGGTGCTGCCATTCTGCTGAAGGAGGGAAGCAAAGAAACGTATCTTCCCTTTGTTTGTTCAGAAACCCAGGGAGCTGTGAAAAGGACATTAAAGCAGAGTTCCACCCGAAAGGGGAAGTTCCACTTTGAAGATTGGTCCCCCGCTCCCCATTAAGGATTGGAACCTTTGGGGAGGGGGGGAATGGGTACCTGAATTTGACAGGTACCCGCTCCCACTTCCGCTGCGATCGCCTAGGCAATCGGAAAATCGGAAACGGAAGTTGTCCTCCTACCCTCCCTCCCTGAAGTCTTGTGGGTCACGTGACAGGTCCCAGAAGACGACGGGGCCATTCAGGAAGCACAGCGCTTGGCGCGCATGCTCAGTGGGCACCCGGCTGTGAAGCTGCAAGCTGTCACAGCCGAGTGCCCACAATGAAGATGCCGGCGAAAGGAATACAGGACGGCCGGTGAAACGGGCTGTGGCAGGGGCAACGCGGGATCGTGGGACAGGTGAGTGGCTGTTTTTTAAAGGTCAGCAGCTACAGCTTTTTACAGAGTGAGCGGAACTCCACTTTAAAAAGGCCTGAATCTGCATCATGAGTAAATAGGTACTCTGCTACAGGAGCTCATTGCTCATAATATTTATAATGTACAGTTTCCAAGCCAACAGCTAGCGTATAGTAATAAAAATCCAACATCATAATCTGTATAAGCACTTGATATGTTATCACTGTAGACAGCTTTAATACAGACAGTTATGCCTCAACAGTGTTGCTTTTACAAGCTTAATACTTACTTGATTTAACATGTGTATTTAAGTCCAAGGTAGAACTGACATGTTTGGAAACCATGCCTGCATGACAAACTATTTCTTATAAAGAGTATAGCTCCTAATCTATAAAGTATGTTTGTCAACTCTAATTTCTGGCCCACATCATAGCTGCTGTGTGATGAAAGGAATTTAAGGCAAGCCTCCCTGAACAAAAATAAATTCCAAACACATATAAACACAGCACGCAACCTCTATCTGCCTGTTGTGAACTAAATTCAGTAGTTCCCACTCAGTTCTGCTATTAACAAAGTACGCAGTTGTTTACGCTGAGGTTGAGTCACTAAAACTGGAGAGTGCAGAATCTGGTGCAGCTGTGCATGGTAGCCAATCAGCTTCTAACTTCAGCTTGTTCAATTAACCACTTGCCCTACAGAGGATTTACCCCCCCCCCCCCCCTTCCTAACCAGGCCATTTTTTGTGATATGGCGATGCGTTATTTTAACTGACAATTGCACGGTCATGCAACGTTGCACCCAAATTAAATTTATGTCTTTTCCCCCCCACAAATGGAGCTTTCTTTCAGTGGTATTTGATTGCCTGTGCATTTTTAATTTTTTTGCACTATAAACAAAAAAAGACCAACAATTTTGAGAAAAAAAAACAATATTTTTGACTTTTTGCTATTAAACATGTCCAATAAAAAATTTTAAAAATCTAATTTAGTCATAAATTTTAGGCCAAGATCTATTCTGCTACATGTCTTTGCTAATTTGGTAATTGCTAAATTAATTGGTTTATGTGAAAGTTATAACTTTTACAAATGGTGGTATGGATACTGGAATTTTTATTTTTTATTTTTACTGCGGTGGGCATTCTGACACTGGGGGAACTGACTTGGTGTCACTGACATCTCCAGTGATACCAAAACAGTGATCAGTGCTAAAATAATCACTTACTCTGTACTAATGGCACTTGGAAGGAAGGGATTGACATGAGGGCGATCAAAGGGTTAACTGTGTGCTGGGTGTGTTTTACTATGGGGCCATGTGTTAGTGCTTCACTGTAATCAGAGAGAAAACAGGTGGCACACACACCTAGTGCATTATCCAAGGTTTATTGCCAACATCAACAGCAAGGCTCTTACTTTCCATTCACCATACATCAGCATCAGAGGTTGGTCATCAGCTCTGAGGAAAGGGATTTGTCCCTGAAACGCGTCAGCCATTTGACCGCACTGACAGTGAGAACACCTTGCCTGCCGTTGTGGCCATTGTCATTTTTCTATGCTTTTTAGATACATGCTTTGTCTGTGAGTATGTTTTTATTATTCTTTCACTCCTACAATAAACCTTGGATAATGCACTAGGTGTGTGCACCACCTGTTTTCTCTCTATCCAGTGGCTGATTTCCCCGTCTGAGGAGGGCTGCACCCCTGGAACATTTCCTTTGGATGTCGCTGTCCTCGTACCCTTGGCTTCCCTTTTGGCTGTGCATATCCTGAGGCGCTGGAGAGTACATACGATATCCGCTTCACTGTAATCACACTGCTTTGCATATAATCACTTCCATACACTGGACTTTTACCCCCTCCTGCCCAGGCCAATTTTCAGCTTTCAATGCTCTCACACTGCACCTAAGCAAAATATGCATAGTTTTTTTTACACAAATAAAGCTTTCTTTTGTTGATATTTAATCACCACTGGGTTTTGTGTTTTTTGAGTAATAAGTGAAAAAAATACTGGAATTTTTTTTTTTTAAAAAGGCATTTTTCTTAGTTTCTATTGTGAAATTTTGCAAATAAGTACATTTTCTTCATAAATCTAGGCCCAAATTTATACTGCTACATTTATTGGTAATAATAACCCAAATAAATGTATATTATTTAGTCTACAAGCTATGGTACCAATCATTAAAAATTGATCACATCTGATGCACCTTGAGGCTGTAAAATACTAGGAAAGTAAAAAATAGCCCCCAAATGACCCTTTTTTGTGAAAGTAGACAGTCCAAGGTGTTTGGTAAGAGGCATGGTGAGTTTTAAATTTTTTTTCCCCACAATTCTTTGGAAAATTAATTTTTTTTGCATACAAAATTGTCACATTAACAAGTTATTTCTCACACCTGGCATAGGAATACTTGCAAGTGAACCCCCAAACACATTCTGCTACTCCTCCTGAGTATGGTGATACCACATGTGTGAGACTTTTCCACAGCCTGGCCACATACAGAGACCCAACATCCAAGTAGCAGCTTCAGGCACTCTAGGAGCATAAAAGCTGCTGAACTCACACATCTAACTCAAGGCAGGTGGTGCTCTACTTGGGATTTAAACCGCCTGCTCTAGAACTAATGGGTGGAAAGGCTAACCATTTAGCCATTGTGCTGCCCAGAGATGTGATTTAGAAACAATCCAGATGGCAGGCAGAGGCATTGTTGGTAAACAGGCCAGGGTCATTTATGGTGGAAGGTAGAGACATGGTCAATCAAGGCAACGGGCAAAAGATCACCACAGATAAAAAAAAATGGGGAAATGGCAGGCTGTTAAAATGAGGGAAACTAATATTTTAGTAACGTGTGATAATGTCGGAAGCAGTCACCAATGCATAGGCCTGGTTAGGAGGCACATTGGGGACAATGAAAACTCGTGTCTCTCCTAACTTCCCCTCTGCTGCATACCCTACATTTTTTGGGGGTGTCTTCTTCCTGTTTATGATGGTGAAATGTTCTCCAGGAAATGGCGTTCGTGAAGCCTGCTGACATAATCGGAGCAAATGCTTTCTGGTGGAGATCCCTGCTGATACATTAGGAGAATGGCGACATCTTCTATAAATTTGACTAAAGTGGCAGGTCTTTTCAGTGACATTTGATAGGTGATGTATGCATTAAAAATGTCCATATGGAAAAAATATATTGCAACTCTTTTATACCAGAAGAGGGATCTCCTTGTTGATAAATAGGTCTGTAGCATCTGATCATTTAATTCCTTCCCCCCCTTGAATTGATTGTAATTGTAGATACACTCTTGCTTTCGGATTGGAACCTCGTCTTCCGTGAATTTCCACCATGGTGTCATTGTGGATGGTGGACAGGGTGAAAACATCTCTCCTACTCCTCAACTTCATGGCCAGCACTTCCTCGTTACTCAGACTTGTAGATTCCCCCCTTTGTAGCATTGTGTTCACTACATTTTGTGGAAAGCCCTTCCTGTTTGTTCGGATGGTACCGCAGGCCAAGGTTTATTGATGGAACAGGTGGCGGAAAAAGGGCAGGCTTGTGTAATAATTATCTAGCTAGATGTGATACACCTTTTGGAAAAGTGGAAAAGCTAGGTCCTGATAATTTTTCCACTTGTGCCAATATAGGTTGGGCACCCAGGGGGCAGAAGCTGGGAGTCTTTGCCTTCATACACATGGAAGGCATGCACATACTGTATCCTGTGCCACTTTCACAGAGCTTGTTGAGCTTCAACCCATACCTGGCCCTTATGCTGGGAATGTATTGCTTGATTCCCAGTTGGCTAGTAAAGTGGACAAGAGATTCATCCACACAGATATTTTGGTCAGGGACATAAAGTTCAGCAAATATTTTAGAAAGAAAATTAATTAGCGGGCAAATTTTATAGAATTTGTCATAGCCAGGCTGATCTCGGGGAGAGCACTGTGAATGATCAGTATAATGCAGGAAGCGCATTATCATGTCATAGTGTGACCTGGATATTATAGCTGAAAAGATGGGGATGTGTGATTGATGGGGTGGGTTGCCCGATATGGATTAAATTTTTTTTTTAAGCCTCATGTTGACCGTAAGGCCCCAAAACAATTTAAACTCCTCTACTGTTAGGCGTCTCCATGAATTGGGATGGTCTGAGATAAATTGTTGGGCAAAAAGGTTAGTCTGGTCCACAATAAATTGAAGGAAACTATCAGGGAAAAATACATTTAAAAAATCAACCTGGGAAAACTGTTTTGTGTTGGGCTACACTTCTGGCTGTGCACTGAAAGGGGGGATTGTAGCTGATCCTGAGCTGGAAAACAGCCATATTGAGTTTGCCAGAGCATCTGGGAGGTATATTTGGGCCCTGACTCTTGGGGTCTGGCGTGATTTTCCAGTGTCAGTACTGGGCCTTTCATCCTGGGGTCTAGCTCCATTGTCATTTGGCAATTGGCCATTAGGGTGTTTGGCGCTGCTCATGGTTGCCTGCTCTTTTGAGCATCTTATTTTTTAAGGAGGTACTGCGTCCTCATCTGATTCAGTGACCAATCCACTACTTTCTACTGGCTTATATTCGGAATAAGACTGTGAGAGCTTCCTGCTGCTCTTGTCTGTCATACTTAGGATTGTAAATGCCTCCTCACTATTGTAATATATTTTGGACATCTTGGCTGTATGACTGGTAACTGCTGATGGACAACTGTGATGGGTACACTGCTGATGGGCGGCAGTGATGGCGGCTCTGTGATGGGTACGCTAATTAGGCTGCACTGATGACAGGTGCACTGATAGACTGCACTGGTGTATGCACTGACAGGTACACTGATAGGCTGCACAGATGGATGTGCTGACAGGTATATAGATGGGTTGTACTGACAGGTACACTGATCAGCTGTATGACAGGTACACTGATGGGCTGCAAAACATGTATACTGATGTACTGTGCTGACAGGTACACTGATGGGCTGGGCTGACAGGCTGCACAACAGGTACACTGATGGGCT